GGATAAAATATTCTGGTTAATTTAAATGAACTAGACAATAAAAGCAATAATTAGAATCAATTTGAAATCATTAGCATACAAAGAACTGAACTAAGTTTCTCTGGGTCCATTAAGAAAGGTTAAATTATTGCAAGAAGGCATACAATGACAAAGAACAAAAACTAGGATGGAATATGGCACTATTATTAAAAAGAAAAACCTTCAGAATGATGTTAGACAGTATTAAGAGAAGAATATTTCTCTCCCTGGATAGCCTCCTCCTCAGCCAAACAGACCCCATCATCTTTCAAACCCACTCACAAAGTCATTCTGGAGCCCCACAGCTGGAGTTAATCTTGTCCTTTTTAGACGTGCAACACATGTCACATTTGATCTGCAGCTATTTATACACCTGTCTCATTTCTTAAAGGATTGTAAGCTCTTTGAGGACAGGGCCCGTGACTAATTCTTCTTTGTATCCCTCAATATCACACCTAATAGGCCCTCAGTAAATCTGATGAATGAAGTAGGACATAATTCTCTCAGTATGTAGAAGCCTGGGTCTATGTTGGATTCATATTATCAAAGATAAGGAAAATGATCAAACAGGTTTAGAATAGAATAATGAAACATTATAGCTAAAGAGTAAGAGAAACAAAATCTATATTTGGTTGGGCATGGCAGGGAAGGTTACAGGAATGTAGCTTAGAGGAGTGAACTTTGGAAAGTGATATCAAGGCATCTTCACATATATTAAAGAGATAAAATTAAAAGAAGGCCTGAAGTTCTTTTATTGGAGCAAACCAAAAAATGACCAGATTTTAAGGAGGACGTTGCAAATAAGGCCTGCTGAAGGACTTCCAGAGTATAGATACTAGGGTGTTGTGATGAAGGATAGAGTAAATGCTATGTCTCCTTCCATCCTCACAAGTACAAAAGAATTTGACAATAAGAAGGCCTCTGGTCCACAGTTTTTGCAAAATAACTCATGAAACAATTACAAGCTTTTAAGTTTTAGGATTTTTTTTTTTTTTGGCTAAGATGCCGAAACCTGTTTTAAAGGAGAAGGGGGATTTAGTCCAGGAAGGAATGGGAGAGACTCAAGCCTGGGATTTGGAAGGCAAAATGGGACCAACCCACAGGGAGAGACAGTCTTTGAAGTCCTGCCAATCAAGGACCAGGGCTTAAGGACCAGACTCCTAAATCACGTGGCATTTACTGCCCCAGATAAAAAAATACTTTTGTGGATCAGTGTCTGTGGTTCAAAATGGCTAGGTTCCAAAATCAGTCTTAATTTTCTATGGGTAACATTTGGAAGGCTCCCTGTAAGAACTGAGTGGAGCCAGTTTCTAGAAGGGACAGCTTAATGATTTTCTATTCCCCCACCCCTGAATCATTAAACAATGTTCTTTTCCCAGAACCCAAGTTCACGCTGAGGGCAAAGGGAATTAAATGAAGAAGCTGAACCTGCAACTAAGATTAGAGAGTTGCCAAGGGCCTAATTTTAGGTCCCCGCTGCCCCAGCTGACGTCCCGCGCCCTGCGCAGCTGGCTCAGCCATGAGGACCACAAGTGTGGCAGTCAGCCGGCGGCTGAGTGGGAGAGCGACTCCCGAGCCATCTGCAGAAGCAATTAGCTTGCTGTTGGGTGTGTTTTGAGAGAAACTACCAATAATTTTTCCTTCGACAAATGTTTCTTCAGGTGTTCGAGAGTCAATAAGGGAAAATGTCAGTGCTTGGCAGAAATTCCCACATGCCTGCCATCCTAATATTCACGCTTCTCCACGGAAGAGTGCTCTCCAAAAGGGAACAAATCCTAGAATTCCTGGTTTCTCATACCCAGTAACCCCCAGCTTTCCTCTGGCCATCAGCTCACAACCACAACCTGATAAAAGTGTTCAGGACTTCCTGGCACCATGAGCACAGACATTGACAGACGGGAACAGCTCTTGCATGGGGTGGGGGGGGGTGTTTCTCTGCCGCTTTGCACCGGGATTTAGGCTAGCCTTCCACTCGTCACACATTTCCCAGTCACAGGTTTCATGCTTAAATTGTCTTCTTCAGAGGACAGACAATAAGAACTGGCATCTTCCAGATCAAAGGGAAACAGAATATATTTTAAAGTGACAACTTTGTTATCCAGCAACCAGAACAAAACCAGAATAATAAAATGATATAAATATAAGTCCCTACATGATTCCATATTGAAATGCCACCAGAGAGCAAAATTTCTTGCATAATTATGGCAGGGAAACTCTCTTTACAAAGCACTCACAAGAGCATGTCTTATTTTTGCACAGTTCTTATGCCTGGGGCAGCCCTCTGCAGGGATAGAGACACTGTCCCTGCAGGTTGGGAACTGTGATAACAGGCTGGGGCTCCCTGTCTGCAAAAGAGGCTCTTCATAAAGGCTCATTGCCAGGGGCAATGAAAGAGTAGTCCAGCACTGCCCAGTCAAGGGAGCGAAGCCTTAGTAGCTGTGGCCTTGGTGAGGGCAACTGCCATCCAGGTGCACAAATGGCCAGAACCACTTCTCTTTCTTCCTCTACATTTCTGTCCAATTTTCCTGGTGCTTTGCTTTCCCTGTCTACATGTCCCACACACTGTCTGTCGGTCTGTCTTTAAACCTATTTCTGCACCCCCTCCCGCATGCGCGTGCACACACGCACACACACACTCCTGTCCCCCCTTTCGCCTGTCTCTTGGCGCTGGCCCTTTCATCTTCTCCCTCGGGGATTCGAGATGTCGCTGCAGGAAGTGCTTGTCGGCCGAGGCAGCAGCAGCAGAGCCCTGTGGCTTTGACAAACCTCATTTAATTGGGAGGAAGCCAGGAGAATTTGAAAGAACTGAAACATCCACGAAACTCCTTTTATCAGGCATAATTTAAACTCTGCATGGAAAAACCCCTATATGTATAAAGAAAAGTCAACTTCCCTCCTGCTGGGAGCTCTCCTCGTCTCCCCCCCCCAGTGCAGGCAGGCTCCTGCAAGATTCCATCTTTTCATTTTTCTAAAAGTGTCAAAGTAGATTTGGGTTCTGCAGCTGGGTGAACAGAGAAGGAATACAGATTGGTTTTTCCCTTATACCCGAACGTGCACATAGAGAGAAAGACAGATAGACAGACAGATACACACACACACACACACAGAGCAGAGTTCCTGTGTTGGCTTTGCTTTCTCTGTCCAGGAAGAGACAAAACCCAAATTACTAATAACACATTAGTTTGGACAGTGATTGCTTCTTCCTAATAATGCTTCATCAGGCAAACAAAATGTGGTGCTCAGAAAACTTTGAAGATCCCCAGCAATTCTCAGTTTGTAGTAATAGATCCTGGAGGAGGACTGATGGGGGAAGTATCTTCAGGAGGTGAGAGGTCAGTGTGTATGTGTGTGTGTGTGTGTGTGTGTGCACACGCTCGTGCCCAAGCGAGAATACTTGTGTCAAGTGGCAGCTAGAAGTCTCAAGCCTGACAGAAGAAAGCTAAGACAGTCGGATCTAGGGGCTCAGACTGGGGAGAAGGACTGGATGGGAGTGGGGGAGTGGGTGGGAGTGGGGTTGGAACCAGGAAGGGAGAATTGTAGCTCTGCCTGGAATGTCTTTTATTCCACCCATATGCCAAACTCTGTGCCTCCTCCCGCCTTCCAAATTCCACTCCAAATTCACCTCCAGTTTAATCCATCTCACTTGAGTTATTCCTGTGCCTCTACGGAACGGCCTTTAGCGCTCACATATTCTCTGAACATCTGCAGCTAATGCTGCACAGACGTTACTTGTTTAGATATGATTTGTGCTAATATGTACAAGGGTGCCCTGTTTCCTCTTCCTCACCCTCTTTTCCTCCCACTCTGTAGGATCCTTGAGGTCAGCAACGAGCCTCTTTTTTCCCCTCAATTTTTATAGCACTTAATATGTTCTTGACACTTAACGGCAGCTTAATAAATACTGATGACTGATTCTTCTTACAGGGTTAAGTAAGACATTAACCCCAGTTAGATGATTACAGTTATTTCTTGAGATCCTAAGTGACTCACTTGAATAATTAAATATCTCAAGAAGTCCCAAATGAAAAGCTTTGGGCTGTTGCAGAACAATGTCTTAGAAGCAGTGGAGCCGTGCATTTGCAAAGCTTGGAAACTGGTTAGACCATATCTACGCCCTTGGGCAGTAGCCCCACTCCCACCACCCGCCTCCCGTCACCCTACCTCACCTTACCCCAGTACCCTCTTCCCAGTCTGAGCCCATCTGCCTTCCTTCTTAGCTTTCTACTCTCCAGCTTAGGACTTCTATAAACTGCTTTCAAATGAACACTGGATATTTTCAAAGAAACCCCACCTAAGGACAGTCCCCCCCCAAATAGCTCAGGCCATGACCGCACTGCCCACATCCTCCACGCAGCCCTTCCTGGCCACATTCTGAGAAACATGAGGAGACTCAGCCACATGATCCCTCAGCAGATTTCAGATTTGGGAGATAACTGGAGGCCAGGCACAAAGCTGATTTCTGGATAACTTATCCCTTCAGCTTCCTGCCTGAGAAGACACTCCCTTCTCCCTGTTGTCCCACCCCAGTGCTTCCTTTGGCTGCATCAGATTACCAATCAAGAAAGGCCCAGCTCTCCTCTCATGACATATCCATGTACCTATCATCTTACTCCCTATGGGAAAAAAGGAGGTTGTTAGAAACTTTGGTTTTGCTTCTCCTGGCAGATGCAAGCTAAAGCAAACAACTCAGAAGTAACTCTCATCTCATTTGATTTCAAAGTACAAGTGTGTAGATGGGAAATATTTGGATCATTGCAAGGAGGGCTGTGTCCCCTCCACCCACGAGTGCTCCTGAGGCTCAGAGACTCTCATGCAAACTCAGGCATGATGGGGGCCCCATCTTGTGCCTCCCAGGCAAAAGCATCACTAAGCTCACTTAAAAGTAGCAAATTCTATGATTTTCCAGTGCTCAGAGAAAGTAATTGGATTCCAAAACCTAAATGTGTACACACACACACATACACACACGCACACACACTCACCATCAGGAAGCTGGTGCAGTTGAGATGGTAGGTCACTGAAATATCCGTGAACCAGTGCTTCCTGGGCGGAGACTCGGTCTCTAGGAAAGCCTTTCAGCATTTGAGATGCCAGGTCTTCAGCTTCAGGAACCCTGCCCAACCTGGAAAAGTAGGAGAGAAAAATACAGCATCTGCAAAGGCCTTCCCTCTGAAAGATAAAGGAGAGGGGGTAGTAAAGGGAAGGAGATAGCTAGAAGAATCCTTCAAAGAGAAATTTCTTGAGATTACCAAAGTTGATGGCAAGTGGAAAAATAATCCCCCAAGCTGAAACTCTTACTTGTCATGTTACCAAGACATAGGCAAAAATCTCAGTATCCTATCATTCAGCTCTCTCTGCCTGCCACAGAATCTCTGGGCATCGTGTGTATATAAAGGACACAGAATTGCAATTATAGAAGCAGAAATATATAATTAAGGAGTCTTCTTTGAGGGACAAGGTAGTCCCCACCAAGCAGAAAAGCCTGATAGGAAATTTGCTCTAGGTTCTGGGATCCAATTCTGATTCTGTAAACAAAAAATCCAAGAGAGGGAGCAAAGATAGAGGTGACATTGGAGGGGGAAGCTTGGGTGGAAAATAACCTAACAGTGTTTCTGCAACTCAGCTCCTGAGATTATTATCTAAAACTCTACAAGTCTCCCTACTCTGCTATTGGAAAGTAGAATGTTCCTATTTGGTATGATTTGACAAGTATAATTTTGGATCTGGGAATGCTCAAAAATTTTCCCATTTAGAGGCCTCCCTGGTGGCTCAGGTGGTTGAGCGCAGTGCTGTGATGCTGTCCGCAGCCTCTGCAGTGCTGGCTTGATCCCGGCTGGCCAGGAAGATACCACACAGCACGGGAGACCTCTCCTATCTTGCCCGCTGCTCCCCTCAGCAGTGTATTTCAGTCAGTCTGCCTGTTCTGCTCCCCGCTCTGTCTCTGGTGAATCCTCTCACTGTCCCGCACATCTGGCCTTTACCCCGGTTCTTGTAAGTATGAATAAATAAATCTTAAAAAAAAAAATCCCATTTAAATGAAAGGCAATAGGGTTCTATTTTGGGGTTGAAAGGGAAACCTATACCCTAAATTATAGTAAGGGTAACTCTTCAAGTTGACCTTATATTGACTTATAAGCTTGGAGCTGAGCAAACCCATTCATTTAGCAGCTACTATATGCCAGCAGGTGAGTGGCTTGGGATATCAGGTAAGATTTCCTTCTGGCAGCTATCTACTAAGGGAGTTACACATTAATCAAATAATCATACAAATGCATAATATCACTGTGAAGGAAAAGGTCCAGATATCTGACTTAGAGGAGGTGGTTCTGGATGGTTTTCCTAAGGAAGAGACATGTAAGCTAAGAGTTGAGGAACTGGGGCAGGGAAGGGTAAGGATTCCAGGCAGAGAGATGTGGTGCTCATATAGACCCTAGAGTGGGAGGGAGAAGGGTGATTTTAATGAAGGGGAGAAAGGCCAGTGACTGGCCTGTGACAAAGGGGAGAAAGACCAGATATGAAGTTGAGGAGGGCAAAAGGCGCTGATCCTGTAGGCTTTGTGGGTCTTCATGTATCCTATTTCCTTATAATGTTTGAAAGTCTTTGCTAACCTAGTCCCAATCATTTAAGAATACTTATCTCTAGATACCATCTCACACCAGTGAGAATGGCACATATTAAAAAAACTAGCAACAACAAATGTTGGCGAGGATGTGGAGAAAAAGGAACTCTCCTGCACTGTTGGTGGGAGTGCAAACTGGTCCAACCACTATGGAGAGCTGTGTGGAGATTTCTGGACCTACTAAACATAGAGCTTCCATATGATCCAGCAATTCCACTCCTAGGTATTTACCCAAAGGACACAGAAACATCAATTCCAAAGAGCACCTGCACTCCTATGTTTATAGCAGCACTGTTTACAATAGCTAAGCTTTGGAAACAACCCAAATGCCCAAAAGTAGATGACTGGATCAAGAAGATGTGGTACATATATACCATGGAATATTACTCAGCATTCAAAAAAGATAAACACATGCAATTTGCAGCAACATGGATGGCGCTGGAAGGGATCATGCTCAGCGAAATAAGCCAAAAAGAAAAAGAAAAATACCGGATGGTCTCACTCATAGCAGGAATCTAGAAAACTTAAATAAGGGACCAGGAAAATGAATATAAGAAAGTGAAAATCAAAATCAACAAAAAACTATGAACCAGAGACACTTTTTGGGGGTGGGGGGCGGGAGGGGAAGGATTGGGGTCAGAATGGGGCGTTTGCAATTGTATGGGGGAATATAAAAATAAAATTTAATATTAAAAAAAAATAAAAAATAAAAAAAATAAAAAATAAAAACAAAAGAGAAAAAGTAAAAAAAAAAAGAAAAAAAAGAATACTTATCTCTAGAGCTTATAGACAGGTTTACAAGTGGAAAGCCACCAGGGAGATGGCTGTGCAGATCCCAGGGGCAATTAACCACAGGACTGATGATGTCGGACATTTAGAATTAAGTTGCATGGCCATGCAAATTGCCAATTAAGCAAAACTAGATGGGTTTACTTAATGTGGCATACATGTGCCAACCTGAAGCAACAAAGGAGAGCTTTCCTTTCCCTCTCCAGGTGCAGTGAAATTGGAAGTCCTGGTCCAGACTTGTAATTTGCCTAATTTTGCCTAAGATTTACATAAGAAACTTCCAGATATCTGATTCCCAGGACATGAAAGTGTTTCTACAGATAACTTTGCCCTCAAACTCAGAAGAAATTGCTTCACAGACATATTAGAGAGAGACGAAAATTGCAAATTCCCTGTCCTTGCGAATTTCCAAGCCAGTTAGGAGGGAAGGAAAGCTGGGGTGGAGGCCTGTTCAGTGGTTTGTGGCCTGAAGAAGGGCTGGTGGGTACTTTCTTCATCTGGGGTGCCCTGCCCTGGCACAGGTTTTCAGGGTCAATGAAATGGAGGGTTAGAGTGAGAAAGCTAATATAAATTGCTAGGCTGAAAGGAGATTAGAGAAAATCTCATAAAAATTTTTAGCTGGTCCATCTTGCTAGAGTGAAGGGGTAGAGTGTGTGCTAAAATTGGGGTCTGAACCCACTCTATGAACTTCCGGGAACGGGTGGGTGATGGTGGGGGAACAATGCATCTATAGGTTTCCATCGCCACACTCATCCCCATCAGTGATTTGTTCTCTCTGCACAGTCCTATACATTAGCCCACAACAGTAGAATTGTTCTAGAATTACTCTGTAGGAGCAGCTTATGAGTTGCGATCTGATTGAATAAGGAAGGCTAGGGAACCTGTTTTGAATTTGTGATAGCATAGCTGTGTGCTGCTTTTACTTCACTGCGTTTATGTCAGTGTCTGGGAAAGTTAAGAAAGGCTGATGGAGCCAGCAGGATAGGTTGGTAGAGACACTTAGAAGAACAAACCATTTTTACCAGGCAAGTCAAAGAAAGGAGATTAGGTCCTGATGGGGGATGTGAAGACTTCTTTTCTAGGGCTTTCCTATATAATAGGCTTTATTCAATTATCATTGTTTCTTTTTTCCTCCCAATAATGACCCCTTTGTTGTTCTAGGAGAGTACTTTTTTTAAAATGCTGTCAGCTTAGGATGTGGTAAAGCAGACCTGATAATATATCCAAAAATAGGATGAAATAACATGAGACACGGTTCTATAATTTTCCCACCAATCTAAAATGTGAGTGTGACCTTATTGGGCCCATGTGAATCAGGTTACCATCAAACCCCAGGGAAGGCCCTGAGGTGCATTTACAGCCTGAGCACAGCCCTCCGTACCTCTGCAGACATTGTGTAGAAGAACCAGTGTAGAAAGCTCAGCGACTTGACTCAACTGACAAAACCACAGAGATCTGTATACCAAGTCTGGTAAGCTCCACCACTTACTTAGCTTGATGACTTTGGTCAAGTTACTTAACTTCTTTGAGCCTCTGTTTTCTCTTCTTTGAAATGGGAATGATATTTGTGAGGCTTAAATGGAATCATATATGCAGCTAGGCGCACAGCAAACATCCCAGCTAACGTCAGTCCTTTTTCAAGGACAAAGCCCTCCCCAGAGCCAGGAACTTGCTCATGTGACTATCTAGGCCAGAGCTATCCAGTAGAACTTTCCGTGGTGACGGAAATATTCCATCTCTCAGCTGCTCAACGTGATAGCCACTATTGCCACATGGCTATTGAGTCCTGAAATGCAACTAGTGGAACTAGGCAATTGAGTTTTACATTTGATTTTGATTAATTTAAACTTAAATGGGCACATGTGGCGAGTAGCTACTGGCAAGCAGCTACTGACTCCTTGCTCTGATGTTCTGAGCAGAGAGAAGCTAGAAATCTGAGCCAACGTATTGCTGGGAGCAAGGCAATGGGCAGAGGCAGTGAGTATTGTGTGGCCAGAAAAGCCAACATGGTCTTCAAGCCAAAACAAATCTAAAATATCGCTCAGCTCGAAGGAGGAAGGGCGGGTAGGACAATAGCAGGAGGTTGGTGGCACTTTCTTCTGCCATGTGACAAGTGCCAACAGCAGCAGCACAGAGGACCAAGGTGGTCTGCAGGTTTGGAGTTACCATTTAATTTGGACGTCAGCGATGGAATGAAAGAAAGCCACAGGGCAGCGCTGAAATCCAAGTATCTCTAGGTAGAGGAGCCTGACTATGCTGGCGGGAGCAAGAGTGCTCATCTTGAACAAAATGATAAATAGCAGTGCCCTGGAACCTGTCTCCAAAACAACGGGGAGTTTCAGGTGATACAGGGAGTTTGAAAATAAGAGCGGAGTGTGCAGATATCCCGGGGAGACCCGTCCCTCCCAGTGAAAGATCCTCCGGTAGTTCGCAGCTTTGTGTTCCGACCTATTTTACTCTTTGTACTCTGGTACGCAGTCCACATGGAAGAGAGGCTTTTTAAAGCATATGAACAGTAAGTGTGTGGAAATCAAACAAAATTTGGTTAGGTTAAACTCTACCACATTTTCAGGGAAGAACAAGGATCAAATGTTCAGTTAGGATCTTGGCGGGTGAAACTCTTTCCCTTCTCCCCACCTGCGAGAGTGTGTTTTTCTTTGACATTTGAGCTCGTTTCCCCTGTCTCTGATGTTTTCCTCACTGCCCTTTTTGCCTCCTCACTGAAGCAAAAAGAACAGAGCCTCAGCTAATTACTCTCAGATCAAATAATACTGGTTATTGTAATTGGTCATTGTCCGAAAACACTGAGTTCTTCTTAGCCCTGAGGTTGCCTGGCACGGCTTAGTTAGCTAACCATTCCCGGAATGTCTCTATTATCTGTTTTACTTTGCAAAAGAAACTAGGGATTTGTTGAAAGCTAGTAATAAAAGTCTGCCCTGGTCTGAGAAGAGACTGCGTAGAGAGGGCCTGGGAAAGCATGACCTCCATGAATCAAGCTGCCCCCACTCCAATAGCCACTCAATGATGTTATTTGGTTTCTCTGTGTCAGAGAATAATAAACCCACTAGGTTTTCTTGCAGGCCAACACTCCCTCGTTCTCAGGGCCTCGGGCATGGTTGAGGGGGCACAAAACAATTTTAATGACCAAACTCACTGAAAGTAAAATGGTTCATAGAGAAAAACTAACAGATGCACAGGTGACTGGTTCTCTCAGATGCATCTTCCTGGGGCTAATGTGCAGTGGACTGAAGTCTAGGAGAGTGATCCTCCATCCCTGCTGAAAGATAAACTTTGCAAGGTGGGGCACTTACCTGTTCCAGACATTCTGAAGGCTTTGAGGTTTAGGCAGTAGAAACCATTCTGGAAAGCATGCACAGAAATGTCAAAAAAACAAAACAAAACAAAAAAAACCTTAAAATCTTGTGGCCAAAAGTATTAGTAAAATTCTAAATGCTCTTCTTGGCTTTGGGCAAGAGAAGATTAAGGTATCAGGTAAGCAAACTAGATTTCTAAGCTCTCCGAATTTTTATGATTTTATGGAAGGTCACTCTTATGGGTTAAATTGTGTCCCCATAAATTCACACATTGAAGTCCTAACTTAAGTACCTCAGAATGCAACATTATTTGGAAATAGGGCTGTTGCAGACACACTGTTAAGATGAGGCCTTTAGTGTGGGCCTAGTGCAATGTGACTGGTGCCCTCATAAAAAGGGAAGATTTGGACACGAAGCTACATATACCCAGGGAAGAGGCTATGAAGAGACACAAGGGGAAGGCAGCCATCCACAGGCCAAGGAGAGAGGCCTGTGGCAGGTCCTTCCTCCAGAACCCTCAGAAAGAAGCCATCTTGCCAGCACCTCAGTGTCAGAGCTAGCCTCCAGAACTGTGAGACAATAAATTTCTGTGCTTTAAGCCACCCAGTGTGTGGTACTTTGTTATGACAGCCCCAGCAAACTAATACAGTCACAATATTCAGTAAAGTCAACAAACATTTATTTAACATCTGTGTGCAGAGCATGTACTGAGGGCTGGGGAGAACACAAAAGAAATCAAAAGAAACCTCCCCACCCTGGCCGAGCTTACAATTCATTTGAGAGAACAAAGCACACATGCATGAAAAGTCACATGACAAACGAGGGAGCCGTCTCAGAGTCTCAAAAGTGGTTAAAAGTAACAGGGCTGATTTTATATGTCACTTGTGGTAAAAATGGAAGCAAATCCTGGCTTCAAGAATCCAAACTGTATTCAAAATGTAAGATAATAAAATTTCTAATTTTCTTTGGAACACTTTATAACATTGATAACATTTACTACACATATACACATGTTTCTGTTATTCTTGGTAATGATACTGCTTAACCCAAAACATAACCACCAGAATCGGAGACACTTCTCTCATTCATTCATGAAGTATTAACTGAATGCTTCCTCTGGGTAAGGGCCATCAGAGGAGCTGCAGAGGATATATATAAGCTGACACTCCGTATCCAATTCCTCTATTTCCCACTCAAAATTGAGAAAAGAGTATTTCAACTCTCGTTTAAAATGTTTCTACCTCATACTATTCTGGGGCTGGAAATGCAATTGTTTTGGTTTTAGAAGATTTCTTCCAACTCCTGTAGGAATGGAATACGCCAAGACTGTCTATCCAACAAAAAATTTAATCATAGCTGCTCAAAAAATGATTTTAACAATACTGACCTATGTGTCTGTATGTGAATATCGAGACCTAGAAGACCACCTGCCAGATAGTGAGAGTGGTTACAGGGGCTTACCCTTTTCACTTCTATGCTTATTTTCTTAACTGTATTTTCTTTAATAAAGAGCACATTGTTTTATAACTTCAAAAGTAAGTTCAATAAAAAATGGAATTTACGGTGCTACGGGTTGTAGAGTAAAAGGAGTTATCAAAAGAAAGCGATTTAAGTTGTTTTCAAGGTCAGATGCAATCAGATGTGAATCACTCTGCTGGTGTTCTATAGTCCCAGGTGGGCACTAAGGGGAGTGATTGTATATGCAGATTATTTACTCTCTGCTCAGATGATTGGGCCTAAATTCAAATAACCGGTAAAGATAAGAATATCTGGCATTTGTTTAGTATGTGTATTTCTGAACCATTTTCTGCTGCCTATTTATGGTTCTTTCCTACCCAAAGTTAAAATGTTTGCTCATTCAGTCCTATTCCAATGGCCAATCAACACAACAAAATCCACTCAAGTCTCTTCCATGTTATTTTTCTGTTCTTTAAGCTCTATGTGTTGGGCTGTTTTTGTTTTTTTTTTGTTTGTTTGTTTTTGGTCTTCAGTATATTGATAATATTTCTCAGTTCAGTGTTGTTCTTGTGGAACATGGGTGTGGAAGTAGCTGAATTAGGGTTTGAGCACTGAACCTAGGGCTCAGTCTGCTGCTTCGGGTTCTCTGACCTTGGGCAAGACATCTTAACTGAGGATAACCTGTTTCCCTAACTCAAGTTAGAATTCATACTTGTCTCACAAAGACAAAGTGACTCATTGAATCTTTTGATTCACTGAGATAATGTATGTGAAGTGCCTGCCTTGGAGCAAAAAATAAAAACAAAAACAAACCCCCATTTGCTTCTCTTTCCTTTGAAAAGTGATGGGCAGTGTCAAAGGTGTGTGGTTAGGAGAGTTCTGAACCCACACAAAGCCACTTCCCAGCTGTGCCACCAAAGGGAGCAACTTAACCTCTCTGGGTCTCCGTTTTCTCATGGACAGACAGGGAATACCTGGTTCCCTCTACACAGAGTTGGCGTGAGAGTTAGGATAGTAAGTATAATACAAGTGTGTCCTCAATTTTGCCCCTTTCTGCCTCTCTCTCTTGCTTGATGAGCACTGCTTTTCTCTCTCTTCTTTTCTCTCAGTTCTTCCTGCCTCATTTTTCCCCTTGAAAGCCTTCGATGACTTGCTTTCTCACTCTGCTGAAATTCTAACTTGTTCCAAGCTGCACTTCTTACCAGCCTGACTTGAGTTTGAGTCCTCAGCGTGGGCCAGAGGCCTGTCTCTTAGTTGTTGGTGTAGTAACGTGAACACAAAATGTCCATTTGCCACTTATAAGTTCTGGGATGTCCTTTGTGCCATTTATGAGTTCTGGGATGTGGAGGGAAATTACTTAACCTCTCTGGTTAAGTCAATTTAGAAGTCCCCAAATCCGTAAAATGGGAATAAATTTCCAGTTAACTGAAAGGATTAGATAAGATTGAGCACTTGGCATGTGTAGGGGCTCAATAAATGTCAGTCTTACTCCTTTTTCTCTTCTTGCTTTACCCGTCATTGTGGAGGGGTAGCTTGGTCTAACATGGTGGTTCTCAAGCCAAGCTGCACATGAACATCATGTGGGACAGTTTTGAAAAAGGAAGCCGTGGCTCCACCCCCCTGGAGTCTGATTCAATGAGCCCGGAGAGTCTGTTGTGTTATTACTGACTTTAATAGTCTCCAGATGTTTCTAGTGTGGCACTGAAGGAGGCAGAGGACCCTGGTCTAGCAAAACAGGCAGGTCTACCACTCACCAGCTGCTTCCACACGCTAGTCTCAGGCTCATTTCCTCAAGTGAGCTTATTGTGAGAATTCAATTAATCAATGGATATAAAAATTGCAAAACATAGTGTCTGACACATACTTAATATGTTTTTCCAGGATGTGAAAATGGAAGCATGACAAGGGAAAGATCAGTTCTCATAAATTCTATCAGTAAAAGGTGATCATCTCATGGTCTTGCCTCTTCTGTAGTCACCTTGTAGTCCCTTGTGGTCCCACATCTTACCTACACTGTGCCTATCTCTCCTCCCACATCGATGTTGCAGTTATGTTAGCTGAGAGAGAAGGATCGATGTGTCCACGATCCATCACATTGCTTTTCTATAGTAGAGCCAAAGCCCAGGGCCTTTTTGTGACCTCCCTGCTCCCTGTCCTACTCTTACAGAGATAACCTGGTGCTGAAGGACCTTATCTCTCTCCCATTGATTTTTCCTGTAGTTAAACTCTTAGAGATCAATGAAAGAAGGGCCCACAAACAGGCATTTACACAGAACCATTTTGAGAGTCCGTTTCTTTTGCTGCAAATATCTCTAAAAATAATAGGTCTAGAAGTAGCTCATTGCCCTTCTCCTTCCAAAGATGATGGAATATTTTTCTCCATTTCCTTTCTGCTGTTCTCATTTTAGAAGTTCTCATTTGAGTTCAACTGTAATCTGACATAGGAGAAGCAAAGTAAGTTGCAAAAGGCAAGTAGAAAAGCTGATCATTTTAATTTCCCAACTAAATGGACTAAAGTTAAAAAGCAGGGAAGAACTATCGCTAACCATAGTCAAATAAATATTGAAAATGCTCATTTCATAGCTGATTCAAGTATGGTAACATTAGTCCATAAGAGTTGTTGGTGGTTTGATAAAACCAGGCACTTTCTGAGCCTAAGCTCAAGGTGAAACATTTTCTAGTTACTAGAGTGTTGCCACACTCACCCTAAGGTTATCTCATAGTGCAGTCTACTGAACTACTCCTTTGGAATTTCCTGAACACAATACATTCTTGAGATACCATATATTTAAATAGTTGATAATGTTGTTAGCCCTGTTCCACTATCTCAAGCAGTAATTTTAAAACTGCATTGCAAAAATCTGTCGCGCTTCATCTCCACCCAAATACACATACTCAGGCTGATGGGTAAATGATTTAATCAAGTTCTTTATGCCACTAGCCTCTGTCGCTATCACCTGCAGCCTTGATGGTGGTAATGCAAAAGGCGCTTGGGAGCATGGGTGCGGGGCACTCATGCCTGATTGTGGGTGTGGGCATGTGTAAGCGTGCACACCTGAGACTAGAGGCCAGGGCTGTAAGGGTGGCATCACTCAGATGGACAATAGCTGCGAGAGGATGAGCAGTATGACTATAGAAGAGGCAAGACCATGAGATGATGCCAGAGAGACCCAGAGAAAGAGCGCAGAGATTCATGGGGTTTTGGTGGGGTCTCAGCTGCCTGCCTGCCTGCCTCCCAACCTCCCAGCCCCTCACCCTCCTACCTGGCCCATGCTTGCCTCTCTGCCTGCTATGGTTGTGTACCTGGTTCCCTGAGACCTGTAAAATCCACTGAGGGCTCCAGAACTCTCCTTCATCAATCTGCCTGAATGATAGTGAACCTGCCTGGTGCTTGTTTGCACAACAAAGGCCTTCACAGCAACTTGCTTCTCTCTCCCTCAGGTGGCTAGTTGGCTTAAAGCTTCATTAGTCTTTGGCTCAAGGAGTCCAAGCTTGGCTCTTTTAGGGCTTTTCCAAGTAGGTTGTAGGATCCTGTTTGGGCATCATCATCAGGATGCTGAAAGCTAGTGTTCTTACCAAGGGTGCTCC